CATCCGTCAGATTACTTTTGTGTAAAATATGTAGTTGCGCAACAACTGTTATTGTTCGTTTCCTTTAAGTTTTCAAACACAAATCGAAACATAAAAACATGCAATGGATTTTGTAGATTCTTTTCAAACTTGCGGTTGGAAGAGCATACCAACTATGTCATACTGCACCCCTTAATGTCTAATCAAGCTGTCATTCAAGAAAACAACAAAATATGTGGAGAACACAACATAAAACACGTTGATCTGCTCGTAAACTTAAAAAGACCATAAAAAACGGAGAAAAAAAAACCAGCAAGGAATCTAATGGCCATCTGGAAACAATATTTCGAATGGTGGTAGCAGACATGTCAACACTCAGAGCCGATCAAATATCCACTTTGCTTAGAGCGGTTGGTAAATAGGTCACGGATCAAATTGTTTAAAAAACCAAAATGATGGTTAATTTCTTGTTTATCATAGTGATGATTGTTATTGAAGTCAGGGTCGCTTTGAGATTGGTAGTTTACAGCAATGAAGTGTGATGTCCCGAAGAAATAGCAATTCGTGATATTCATTAAATTTTCCATAATAGAGATGTGGCGATTAAATAGGAAAGGAATGATTTAAAAACGTTTGAGTCATCAACTATGTACTCAGTTTTCTTGCAGTTTAGTCAGCTTTAATCTCTTGAAAGTTTCGAAGAATTCTTTCTACCAAAACATTTCCCTTTTTGACTTTAATGACCGTATAGAAACAATCTGAAAATTCATTGGCTGTGATCCCTTTTTAAAAAATCAACAAAAAACGATGTAGGTTAACATCGAAATCTTGAATTGATATGCATTTATATATACATAAAACAATGGTCAGTTTCGATACCCGTGGTACTCACGGCACAGATAGTATGTCTACAACAGACTATTTGTGCTGTGCCACCGCGGGAAATCGAACCTCATATTTTAGCGTTGTAAGTCTCTACACTTTCCGCTGACCAACCGAGGTATTGCTTCCGAGTAAAAACATTCTGCTGAATTGTAGAAAGCTGTTTTGAATCAAACATATAAGATTGTTGGTTAGAAAAAAAAAGACATGAACTTATAAATTAAATGATTAGGGATTTCCAGTGCTCTAAATTTGAACTTATGATCAATGTGTATATGCAATAATTAAAAAATTACAACTGAAGGGTATAATTAACATTAAAATCAACAGAGCTGATGCACGGATATTGAGTGCGCACTTTTGAGGATCAAAAGGTCAAAGTCATTCCCAGTAAACTTTAAAGTTTGATGTGGAAACCATGAGGAAGACGTGTGGAACTGAAATGACGTACAGTACTTGTTTCAAACATATATTATAGATAACTTAATATAGTTTTAAATATGCTCGTTTGTCTTATGATTTAGCGCAAAACTGCACAATGGATTTCCTACTATGTGTGCGCCAAAGGGATCGAACTTCAAATTATAGAGCTTATCGCTGAGCCACCAGGGAACGTTTCAATATGAAAATACTTACAAATAATTATACTGAAAGAAAAAATGGAGAAAGTTAGTACTATGTCTTGAAGTTCTTTTAAACGTTACGTATACATACAGTGTTATTAAATTGGAATGCATAATGACATTGACTCTTAGTCGTATACGTATACCATGTCTCGAAATAGAAAGACGGACTATGCATTTTATTCTATGAAGTTCGTGTTGATCAGAAACATTCTTAATTTTCAAGCACATATTTTGCAGGTTGATTCTCCATTCATGGATTTGATTTTTTTTTATGGGAATAACGTATAACTATCAATCTATTACATAAGTTTTTCGTGGCAAGAGACTCTTGAACAACTTTTAGCATTGATTCACAGTTATAACTATACGTATGTAAACAAAGAAAGAGTCCGGTCTTCGATTAGAACGATTAGTCAATGACAAGGGTAAATACATTTTGACGGAACCACATTCTTAGCATTAAGCATTGGAGCTACTATCTACCTTGAAAATACAAAGGATATGCTATTAACTGGCTTTTACCAATTCACAAGCCACCCCAGTGGATCAGCGGTAAGTCTGAGGGCTTATAACGAAAAAATAACGGGTTTTGATACTCGCGGTGGACACAGCATAGATAGCCCATTAGGTAGTTTTGCACTTAGTAACAAACAAACAAAGAATCATTTTACTAAAATCCAAATAAATTATGAATCATCTATGAAAAAAATATGAAATTGGTAAAGTTAATTAAAATAATTTAAATTAAAATGTAGTTTACACACTATGGGCTGAGGGGGGCGTTTTGATTGTAAATTATAATTTTATTCTAAGACACCGTTTTTATTCAAGTGTATTTCAACAGACTGGCTATAAAGTCAGTATGGTACTTGAAACAAAATCCCGAGGACGAATAGTGTAATCATATACAGACGAAATATTTAACATGCATGCATAAGGAATGGAGAAATTTACTTCTATTGATACCTGGAAATGACACTAGGGGTGTAGTCTAACAACTGTTCAGTGTTGCCGTCATCATTTCGCTATTACTTTGTCCTACTGACAATGGTACTGGATATTGCAGATTGTAATATGTATCCAGAATTCACTCGGACCTCTGCGGCAAGCGACAACAGTATCCTTTAGTTAAGGAATAATTGCCTTAGATAGACTGCTCCTTCAAAAAACTCAATAACCAAAATTAAGCAGAGTGAGGTCAGGGGAACGTGATGGCTAAAGGATTTGCAATAGATTTATTGGTCTGGCGGTCGTATGTCCGAAGTCCTGCATTGGTGTTGCAGTCATTTTGATGGCACTGCTCTAAAAGTGTGATTCGTTGATCCAAACTTAACCTGGTATGTTATTGTACTTTTGACTGTTACAAATGTTAGCCATGCATAATAACAGTTGTCCGTTCTATTCTGCGGTTATATAGTGCACTCATTTGCACGTGCGGCGTCTCCTGGTATCGTTTCCTGAAAACATGTGCGCAGAATACTTTTAACCGCATTACAGGTATCCCAATGGCTCAGTAGTAGGTCAGCGGGTTTACATCGTAAAAAAAAAAAAAAAAAGACGGGTTTCGCTACTAGTGGTGGGCATAGCAGAGATAGCTTATTGTGTAGCATTGCGCTTAACAGCAAAGAAACAAACAAACATTTTAACTATTCGTTTACACTTATACCTTAATTCCTTTATGGATAACGTTTTAGTTTTAATACTTTCATAACATCGTAAAATAAACCATTCAAATTGAACAGTAGTTATTCAACAAAATGTACTTATACTTATCAGATATCAACAGCTCTAATTGAAGACTGAACTTTGTTTATATTATGAACTTTGAAAGTGGGCTTCTGTTTAGATCAATCAATAGAATGTATGAAGTTATGAATTTGTGTATAAAATACAGCATGTGGTCTGAGACTAAGAGTAAAAATAAAATATTTATAAAAATAAGTTATCTGCGGATGGTTGTCTTTTCCATATTTTCTTAATGTGTCCATTGCAATTCAGAAACAGAGATATGTAAAAAAATAGCATATTTGAGCTACCGTTTGTCTCCCAAAAGTCACTGCCCAATAAGCTTTTCGTTTAATACTGTAACTTTTAAAGTATTATACTGCAAGACAGATCTGAAGTTCTACTTTTTACAATTAACTTGTAATCTGCAATTAACTTGTTTTTATAACAATTATTAGGTCTATTGGTTTTCCAATATTTCATCGGCTTTTGGCATTTAAACCGTAACTTTTAGATATAAAATAACTAGTCTTTTATACAGTGTTTCATTATTTGTTGTATAGTTGAAAATAGTACTTTAAAGGATGAACGAAAAACATGATACAATAGCGTGATTGGAAATAGGTTTTTGTCTTCATCATAGAGTCGGTGAGCTCTGTATGTAGGGATGGCCAAGGTACTCAATAGGCATAATACAAATATGCACGCTAAAAAAATCGACATTAACAGATAGTTTTACTTTAAAAGATGATTGTCATTCACTTTCATTTGTTTTTCTACCCAACAAGGCAAGAAACCATTACTAAAACACCAAACCAGAAAGTGACCAAACACCAAATTGTCAATCTTCCTTCTTGTTGTTTCGGTCGAGATAACTCTATAAGTATTTTATCACTAACGTCAGTTTAAACCTTAGCTTTTTTACAGAATACTGGTTTTCCTTTATAAAGTTTAAGTACAGTATGAAACAGGAATTACCAGCCAATAATAGACGATCATTAAATTACTGTAACATGTAGAATAACCAGTGCTTTGTACACTATAAAATTAGTATCTTTAGAGCATCAACCCCAATACTCTGTATGAAGTAAAGGAGTTAAAAAATCAATACACATAACATTAAATTTTATGACACACATTCACAGAATACACTAACTTTCAGTCAGGGGGAAAACATCACAATGCAAGTAATAAAAAACATTTTATAAATGTAAAATGATTTAGGGATGGCAGTGCTAAAAAGAATGTAAACAAGAATATAGGGATGATATAGCTATACTTAGATCATCCCTAAATGACTTTCAATATTAAAATTTAATGTTACACTGCAAAATGCATACTTGTCTTTAATATTACAGCAGTTGAAAGTTAAATATCTATGACTGTTGGTATGTAGTTTGTTTATCATAATATCATGGTCATGTTAGGGTAGACATCAATATAGTGTAACTAAGAGCCAAGTACTTGCGTATAAAGAAAACCAAGTTGAGTCAAAACATGTCTTGATTATTACAGATTCTTGTTGCGAGGCCGGTCGAATTGAACGACCTCGTAACCATTTTATACTCGTGCATTTTACATTGTAACATTAAATTTTAGTATTGAAAGTCATATGGGGATATTTTATGTACAGCTGTATCACCCCTGTATTCGTGTTTGCATTCCTTTTGGCACTGCCATCCCTAAATCATTTTACACTTACAAAACATTTTTAGTATGTGTATTATTTTATATTTTTCTTAAAATAGAAGCTATACGTTATAGAAAGTCGGTAGCTTCTTTACCTACCTTGGAATATGTGTGAGGTTGAAGCGGTGAGAACAGCATTTTCTGTAATAGTGTAGGCACGATCAGGCGCCCCGTAAACTGGTTGACCATTTTCTATTCGAATGGCTCTGTTTTCACAGATTCCTTGTGTTGTACCGATACCTATCTGTTCACCACTGATACCAACACTCTGAAGAAGGTCCGCAGAACCTACATAAGAAAAAATATTACTTGTTTTTGTGCAAATTAAACTATCGATATGTACTGGTGAAACCATAATATTTTTCTTTCACGCGCTTGTGCATGCTCTTTCAGAATAGATTTTCACAAAATGACATGATATTGGAATCATAGCTTAAAATAAAACATCTTCTTTCTAATAAATGTAAAATCAAATCTCACTAAAAGAAAATTATAGAGAGCTCTTGGTATCAAGATCATGTAAACGTTACAAACAATTTCTCTCTCAACATTCTTAATTTATACAAAGTTTAAAGATTCGTTTAAGACTACAAGATAGTAAATTACATATTATAGAAAGCATGTAGATTAGCTATCGATTCCTTCATATATGAAGATGACTCTAAAACTATGGTCACGTGATATATACAATAATTTATCCTGCATATAAAAACAGATCACGTTGACTGGTCTTAAGAAATGCATGTGATCACTCCTACTGAAAAGAAGTATTCATACAGAGATTCATAAATGATGTAGAACCAAAGAAAACTGCATTTCGAAGATGCGAATATTCAGAGGTCTCCATGAAAGCGAAAACACTTTCAAACCAGACCGTGTAGGACAGCAAAGGGCTCTGAAATGACACCTTAAACCTAAGCGATGCAGATGCACGTTCTTATCTGCAAAGAGAATCCTTCGACCCCAAAACAACATTGCAACGAAACTGAGCTATTTCGTAACATTGTTAACAACATAAAAGGCAAGGAGTTGAAATTGACGAAGACCCATATGCCAACAGTACACAAGCGTCCTTACTACACTTCGAAATCAGCAGCTATCTTCATTAAAAGGATGGACGAAGAAACCGGAATCACTGCAATTTCGTTCAACCACATACCAATCAAGTCCTACAATGCAGACCTAATAGACTTTCGTGTCGATGGCCTACATAAGCATACGTGTTGAAGACTTGGTCGATTTATGAGTTGGACATAAATTCTTGAAATTCTATACAAATATAATATCATTGTGCGAGTATTGTTTGTTTGTTTTGAATTTCGCTCAAAGCTACACGAGGGCTATCTCCCATTGGAATACTTATTTAACTTAAGTATTCCCTCATTTACAATTCATTTTCCACCCCTTATTTTCTGATGTTGTTTTTTGAAAATAAACTCACCCATTAACGATATGTAGCTAAATACATTCTAAGCTAACACTGTAGATATTAGCCCTAATTTAGCAGCGAAAGGGAAGGCAGCTAATCATCACCACCCACCGCTAACTCTTGGGCTACTCTTTTACCAACGAATAGTGGGATTGACAGCCACTTTATAACGTCCCCACGGCTGAAAGGGCGATCATGTTTGGTGGAACGCGAACTCGAACCCACGACCCTCAGATTGCGAGTCGAGCGCCCTAACCACCTGGCCATACCAGGCCGTTGTGCAAGTAAAAGACATCTCAAAACACCACATACATACATTCCACCACTGTGTGAAGCAGGAGTTCCCCAAAACTCATATAACTCAGGGAAAAGTCGTAAATCGAATGATAAACAGGGCTTCACATTTTTTAGTCTCGTATTCAAAAAACTATTTATAATATAACAACAATCTAATCAACAATCAAATGTCGGATGTTTTAAAAACGTCTGTAATTGTGTTAACTAGATGAAATAGGTAGAAATAAACTATTTAAAAGGCACATAAACATGAGGTACATTTTATGACAACATGACACTGTCAACAGTTTCGTAAATCCGATCTAATAAAAATGCACACAGATATACAATATCACTATCGTTTAGAATAACACCATCCTTTGTTCTTACCCTAAAATGAGGAGCTCAACGTGTTTATTCAATGTGTTAAATAAGTCTTTATATATATATTTTTTGTTATTATTATTTTTACATCCTCCGCACGTCATTCTTCCCGTCTACTGAATGTGAAACATATGCACAAGATCCTGGTGCTGTATTGAATTAACACGTGGTATAGAAAATAAATGGGGGGTCTAAGTACATTCTGGAAAATATTTTCTAGTACGTGGTTAAAGACGGGGCAAAAAGAATATATTTTTTTATTGATACTTATCAAGTCAAAAATCAATTATTCTCTGAGTAGTAGAAAAAATAACAAAAAACATCTGACAGCTTGTGTATTTTGGTTTATTATTATCATTACTTTAGACTAAACAGAAACTTTACTCAAGGCTTTTCTTTTATTTCCGTATATAGATGTCGAGATATGACTTGTTGTTAAAACTTGTTTGTTTATTTTGAAGTTAAGCACAAAGCTACACAATGGGCTAGCTGTGCTCTGCCCACCACG